AAATAATTAAGATAATAGTTTTCTATATAAAATGCAAAATTAGCAGAGTATATACTGAAGGAAATGTCTCAATTTACTCAATGATTTTATAGGCAAAAATCCAAAACACTAAGAATTAGTAGCACCTCAGTTTCCTTATTTTCTTTTCGCATACCTATCTAAGAGTTACAGTACATATTTATAGATTGTAATATAAATTTAAGAACCTGACTGGATTTTTTTCAACAGCCTCTATTATAAGTTAATGCAAGTAAACATATTTTGCAATCCCTCTCCTAAAAATGAATTTTACGTAACACAAACTACATTAGCATTCAAAGTACAGCTTCATACAAGAAAATAGGATACTTTAGATAGCACTCTTAATCCATATCAGATGATGACAAGGTCCCAAAATGATATTGTTTGATATATTCCAGAATTTGAACTATCAAGAGATTTTGTTTTACACACAGAGGAAGGGCCCCTTAACAAAAGCAGAATCCAGATAGCCTTCCCAAAAGGAAAGATACTACTAGTCCAGAGTACCATTAGCAGCTGGAAAAAAAGGTTAGAAGTGCATAGAGATAACAAAATGGGAAGGAATGAATAGGACATAAGAAAAAAAAAGCTGTATCTACTATTTAAAAGTGGATATAAAAAAGTCTACACACCTCTGTTAAAATGCCAGGTTTCTGAGATGTAAAAAAAATCAGAACAAGATAAATCACTTCAGCATTATTTCTACCTTTTAAGATTTACAATCCAATTGAAAAAAAATGAAATTTTAAGGGGGTAAAATAGCAATAAAAACTTACAATAACATGATTGCAGAAGTGTGCACATTATCTTTATAAGTAAGGGTATGGCTGTGTTCAGAATTACCAATCACATCCAAACTGATGTTAACTGCTAATTAGTACCCACGTGCCATCAATTAAAGTGACTGTGATCAAGGCCATATAAAGTTTAGCTGTGCTGATAATATTTTGTCTGACATTTACTCAATTACCTCTTACAGCAAAAGCCATGGTTTGGCAAAGGGTTTATAAAGCATCAAAGGTATATCATTGATGAAAGGTATTAGTCAGGAGAAGGATACAATTCCCCCCCCCCCCAAGTTTCTGGATATACCATGAAGCACAGTTAAAGCAGACATCAACAAGTGGAAAAATATAGTATACAACAATGACATTACCAGGAACTGTATGTCCCTCCAAAATTGATGAAAAAATAAGAAGAAACCTGGTCCAAGAACTGCCAAAAGATCTATATCATTGTTAAAGGAGCTACAGAATTCATGGAAAGGACTGATTGTGTACTACATGTGACAACAATCTCCCATATTGTTCACATGTTTGAGGTGGCATGATGGATGTTTTTACTTATTAAGAAAAACATCCAAGCCCAGCTGCATTTTGCAAAAACCTACATTAAGTCTGACAAAATCATGTGGGAAAATTTGTTATAGTCTGATGACACCAACTTTGTGGCAACTCTGAACTTTGTGGCATAATTCCAAACACTATGTTTGATGCAAAAATAATACTACCCATCACCAAATACACCATATTTTGAGTTATTTTTCTGCAGCTAGAACTGGGGCTTTAGTCAAGGTGGAGGGAATAAGGAACATTCCAAATATCAGTAAATTTGGGCACAAAACCTCCAAGCCCCTTCTAAAACGCTGAAGATGAATTTCATCCTTCAACATGACCACAATCCAAAGCAAACCTCCAAATCAACAAAAGAATGGTTTCCCCAGAAGATCAAAGTTTTACAATGACCCACTCAGAGCCCAAACTTGAATCGTTTTGAAAATCTGTGGTTTGATTATGAACTGAAGAGGGCTGCAGCAGGAGGTGCTCTTGCAATCTGACAGATTTGAAGTACTTTTGCAAGGAAGAGTGGGCAAAGATTCCCAAAGGAAGATGTTCCATGTTTGTAGGCTCTTATCCCCCAAAACTACTGTATTTTTCAGAGTATAAGACTCACTGGACTATAAGACGCACCAAGATTTTGAAGAGGCAATTTTTTTAAAAAAAATTTTTTTTGCACTCTGCAGACCTCCCAAAAACAGCCCATTTTTTGCAAAAACTGGTGCGTTTTTTTTTCTTTCAAAAAAAGGGGCAGGCATAGCCTTTAGGGGGCTTTTAGAGTGCTCCTGAGCAATGTTCCCTCTAATTTTTTTCAGTGTGAGCAGAAAAGTATAGTGTTTGAGTGGCATATTTTCATGCCTGAGCACCTGAATTTTTTTCAC